TAACATTGCTGTCATTCATTTTACTTATCCATATGCTATAATCAGTGAATACATTGTTACTCTTGTTACTTTGAATGGTTATCTATTAATTAAGAATAGGAAAAACAGATTTTATTTTGCCTTCGTTTATTCCTTCTCCAGTGCTCTTATTTTGTGTAGATTTGACTTTATGACCTGTATAATTTTCCTTCCCTAAAGAACTTTTTAAAACAGCTCTTACTAGCTGGTCTGTTAAAAAATTCCCTCAGTGTTTGTTTATCTGAAAAAGTATTTCTCCTTCACTTTTGAAGGATAATTTCACTGAATACTTTGTAGGTTGGTGGTTTTTTCCCCCAACACTTTACATATTTCACTTCATGGCTTCTGAAAAAAATTGGATGTATTGCCTGTCCTTGTTCTCTGTAGGTAAGATATCTTTTCCCCCGGTTGATTTCATGATTTTATGTTTGATTTTTCTGTAGTTTGAATATGATGTCGTTTAGGTGTAGTTTTTTTTATATTTATCTTGCTTGGTCTGCTCTGAGCTTTTTTGATGCGTGGTTTGGTGTCATTAATTTTGGAAGATTTTTGGCCATTATTCCTTCAAATATTTCTTTTCCTTTTTCTCATTTTTTTCCTTCTGGTAATCCGGTTACACCTTTTGTAATTGTTCTGTAGTTCTTAGATACTGTGTTCTGCTTTATAATATTTCTTTTTTCTCTTTGCATTTAGTTTGGGAAGTTTCTATTGAAATATTTTTAAATTCACTAATTCTTTCCTTGGCCATATCCAATCTATTGATAAGTCCATTAAAAGCATTCATTTTGTTGTAGTGTTTTTTACTTGTAGTATTTCTTTTAATTCTTTTGTAGAATTGTGTATGCTTATATTACCCGTCTGTACTTGCATGTTGTCTACTTTTTCCATTAGAGCTCTTAACAGAGAACTCATAGTTATTTTAAATTCCCTATCTGAAATTATTCCTGATAATCCCCAAATCTGTGCCATATCTGAGTCTGGTTCTGATGTGTGCTTTGTCTGCTCAGACTGCCTTTGTCTTGCCTTTTAGCACGCTTTTTAATGTTTTTTAAAATCCAGAGGGGGGCGCCTGAGTGGTTCAGTCGGTTAAGCGTTTTCTGCTTCTCCCTCTCCCTCTCCCTCTGCTGCTCCCCCTGCTTGTGCTCGCTCTCTCTGTCAAATAAATAAATAAAATCTTAAAAAAAAAACCAAAACAACCCAGATAGGATATATCGGGGTTATAGGAACTGAGGTAAATAGGCATTTAGTGTAATGTTTTAGGTTATTTGGCTTGGGGCTGGGCTGTTAAATGTTGTACGCGTAGGTGCCAGAGGCTTCAGTTTCCTCTAGTGTGTTTTTGTTTATTTTTCTCCCCCATTGTCTTTGTGTTTCCCTAAGAACTCCTTTTTAAATAGTTTAAGTAGTTAATAGTTTAAATAGCTTCTTGCAACTCTTTCTGTTGAAATCCGCTGTTACTGTACCAGAACCTTGTGACCTGGTGGTAGAGTATGGGGAAGAGGAAGTGTTCTATAATCTTAGGACCAAATCTTAAGTCTTTTGGTAGCCTGAGTCCTGGCCTGCAACCTTCAGAAGTATTTTTTAGCCTTTTTTCTCCCCTTCTTTTTAGGTGAAGCAAGAAGGCTAGAGGGGCTGTAGCTGGCTAATTTCCCCTCTCCCAGGACAACATGTAAGGCTCTGGTAATTTTCTCTTTGAGTGTTGGCCTTTGTTATGGAGAACATTCTAGGCTTATTTCAAAACCATTACTTTTTCCCTGGGTGTTTTTCAAAATGGTTATATTCCCCTTCTTCCTCAAAAGGGAGAAGGTTTCTATTGGATCTTTACTCTGGGCATATTTCAAAATTGTTACTTTTTTTTTTTTTTTTCTAACTCTCACCCAAAAGGGGAGGAGATCATTCTTGGATCTTCATGTTCAGAACCTGGTGAAGTCCTGGAGGTAAAGCCAAGAGAGTGTGGAGGGCCCTCCTAAGACTTGGTCGATAGGAGTTCTTACTTGGCAAGCCTTTGTCTAAATTACCATTTAAGTTTTCTCCCTAGCGTATTGCTCTAGTGCCTCCTGCTCCAGGTAAGCTGTTCTTGGGTGTGATTCTTTTTGCCTGTCTCTCCAGATTTTAGGAGTTCAGTTTGCCTTATGTCCTTAATTCTCTGATAAGCCTAAGGAAAGTTGATTTTCAGTGGGGTTTTTTTTTTTTCCCTCTTGCTGTAAGGATAGGAGTGACAATATTCAAGTACTTTATTTGTTGGGACTGAAACCTGACGCTTTATGTTTATGTTTTAAAATGGAAATACCTTGTCCAGTTTAAAAATAATTGTTCAGCAAGAGACTTTTAATTTCTCTATGAAACATTTGCTTGGCTGAGATGACTCATTCTTAGTTATTTTCATCTCTTTGAATCTCGGATCTATATATTTTCAAAGTGCTTAGCAAGAACTTCTTCAGAACAAAATATTTGAAAAACTTAAGAGCTTCTTATAGTTCTAGAAAATTGCTAATAACTTTACCCTAAATTAACTGGAATTATTGATTTTCTCCCTCCCTACCCCTCCAGCACTGTTTTTAATCAGATACCTTTTAGAATCGGTGCTAAAGTAGTTTCAGGGATTATTGTCTTTAACCTTCACTTGTTATTACTTTACCCTAGTTGTTTTTGAAAAAGTAACTCAATTTTCTGAGGCATTTTGAAATCTCTGGAGACTAAGCACTGTTTAAATTTGAAAAACTAATGAGAATAAATGCCTAACTCTTATGCTGCTAGTGGTTTATTTTCAATTAACCTTGAAGAATGTATTAATTATAAACTGTCGATCTTGGTAACTTTAGCCTAATAGGATTAATTTCAGAATCTGCATGATAAAGGACAATTTGGCTAAAATGTGTTATTTAAGCAACTGAGAAAGTACAGTGTATACTTCAAAGCCTTGTAATTTGATTACTTGCTAAAAAATTGCATTTTGGGAACCTTCAGTTCTTATCCTTGGAGAACAGTTGTAACCAACCTTGGGCAATTGAGACATTGTAAATTACATTAACCTTGCCCTCTTTTTTTAGGTTTCATTTTAAGTTTTATTTTTCTCACTGAATCTACTGTGAGGAATAGCTGTTAAACCAAGAAACAAATCAACTGAATGGTATTTAAGATTATTAGTTGGCAAACTCATGTTTAAGAAATATTTTTCTTTTAATTTTCTTAATTGTTTAAAATGAATGTCTTTGCGAATGAAAGTTTTTCAGGAGGGAGAATTAAAATATTAACCATTATGGGTTTTATCCTAACATACTAAATAAAATTTGTTTTTAGAAATGATGAGTTCATGCTGTATTGAAAGAATTTGATTGAAAATAATTATTTTTTGCCACGTAATAATCAATTAGTTGTGGTTTGTTTTAAAGTAAGCTCCAGGGCGCCTGGCTGGCTCAGTTGTTGGAGCATGCGACTCTTGATTTCAGGGTCGTGTGTTTGAGACCACGTTGGGTGTAGAGATTACTTAAAAATAAAATCTTAAAAAAAAAATAAAGATCCATTTGTCTAGCATGATTTGAATTAGAGGCAGAAACCTTTACTTAGGCTTTTGCTTACAGACATTTCTTATAAAGAAATAGGGCTGTCGGGAGGAAAGGGAGAAAGAAGAGCAGGTCTTCAGTAGGGGCACAGTTATGGGTTGTGCCCCATGCCAGCTCCCACCAGCCCTGAACAGATTAGTGGTCGGTATCTGTGTTTCTCCTCCTGAAACTTAAACCCTCCCTTAAAGCCTCCCCAAAACTGGTGATATAACAATCTCCTAGAAGAAACCCACACAAATGAACACAGTGTATTAATATTTTAGTCTTAACAGAAAAGCTTCCATGTGTTCACATTTCAACGGAGATAGTGGTTCACATTCAGTAAATAAGTAAGTTGAGGCCTCTGTTGGCTGGATCCTGACTTGCAATTTCCAGATAAGAAGGGAGCTGTTGCTCCTCTTTTTTTTTTTTGGTCCTGATCTTGCTACTTTATGCTAACTGGGATGGCAGCTACCTTTACAAAATGTCCCTTCATTCACCATAGCATTCAGGACCACAGTGCCGGATTGGTCATCTGTTACCCTCTCTAGGGGAGAGACTCTCAGGGTCACCCCCATGATTCTTGACATCCCTTTCTACTTTTTGTCACCACCAAAACTCACTGGCTAACCATTTTAGCACAGAACCCTCATCCCTGTACTGCTCTGTACATTCTTCAGTTGTACCCTCTCTCTTCCCCCAGCCTTCCTACAGACCCCTAGAGCTCCTGAACTGCCATTAGTAATTTCTCCCTCAGTTTCAGTCTTGCCGCAGCATCACAGTATAATCATGCTTTCTGCTCCTAGATTTCTCTGCTGCTGCTAAGCAGATGCCTGAGGTAGCCTCCTCCAGCACCAGTCTTGGGCTCTGCTACCTCTACTTAATACCTGGTAACCAGTTTGCCTGCCTTTGAGCTCCCTGAGTACAGTGAGTTCTCCCACCCTCAAAGCTTTGCCCATGCTGGCTTCCATCACAGCTAATAGTTTTCAGACTCTTTGCCTGGCTGACTCTATACAGACTGATCTGGATTTCCTTGAGTTAATTTCTGTCAGTACCTATTTTGTTTTTACTTCTTAGTACTTATTTAAAGTTGCAATTCTATATTCATTTAGCCTTTTTCATTGATTCTAAGATGTACATTTCCCCTCACATTTCTGAAATCAAGGCACCTCTTAACACTGGATGCCTTGATTGCTTTCTGAATGGTAAGTAACATAATGGTTTATCTTATAATCGGTTGTGTCTTAGATGTAATAAAATACTGGACTTTTTTTTTTTTCTTCAAAGTAGGCTCCACGGAGTTCAATGCGGAGCTTGAACTCATAACCCTGAGATCAAGACCTGAGCTGAGATCAAGAATCAGTTAACCAACTGAGCCACCCAGGCACCCCTAAAATATTGTACTTTTAATGATCTGTTTCCTCTAGTTAATTGCAAGTTGCACAAGTACAGGAATTCTGTTTTACTCACCCATAGGGACCAGTGCCCAGTATAGTACCTGGTATCTAGTAGGCACTGAATAAATAATGCTGGGATGAATGTCATTATATATTTGGTTCCCCCCCCCCCCCCCCCTTTTTAAAGTAGTCTCCACACCAACACGGGGCTTGAACTCACAGCCTGGAGATCAAGAATCACACGCTCTACTGACTAAGCCAGCCAGGCACCCCTATCATTACCTACTTCAGAAATGATGGCCCTAATAACGTTTGAAGATGAATTGGTCAATATATGCATGTGAATTTTTAATTCAGTTTCTGTGTTTCAGTCTTTGTCTTTGGAGATTGCTTTATTCTGGAATTGAAGGAAACCTTTAGATGTGTTTATGTTGTTCCCTCATTTTTTTTTTTTTT